ATACAAAAATAGCAAGCATCCCGAACTTTCAAAATGTCCCATACTAAGTAACACCGGAAGACCCTATATATAACCAGGCAAATATTTCCGTAAGTGTCAGTGGCGAGATTAATTTTGTAGTGTACGGGACGCTACCCCACGAGTATCGCGTGGGGGGATGCAGAAGGACAACGTAAACCGTCAACCAAGGTGGCGGGAGTAGGTACGTGGCTGGAACACGTCACATTACCTGGCGGAGCTTTTGTACACGTGGCATAGTCTCGCCAACTGATAAGGCGAGACTCAAATAAGTCAGGGCAGCTGGCGGGATTCATGCAGACAATCCTATGTGGCTGCTGATCACGTCGTTGTATGTGGCGGGACTGGTCACGCCAGTCAACCCTACGTGTTTGACTGCTCTACTCTCGTCATTCTTTACAGATGTGTCTCAGCGCGGAGATTCTTTTGAAAATTAACACTAGTACGGAATTTTTGCCCTTAGTATGCTCTGTGACTGCAGCTTAGACTAATCTGTCACATCAGAAAAGAATGATCCTTGGGAAGTTGTTGGGTTGACCACCGTTGTCGTTGACCGACCACCGTTGACAGCCGTCTCCGGCGACTTTTCCGATGACTTTCCGGAGACTTTTTCGGCGATCCACCACCATCTCCGACGAATTTTCCGATGACCCACCGCCGTCTCCGGCGACTTTTTCGATTCCGCGAAGCTTTGTTTTTCTTTAATCTTCTTTCTTCCCAAGATGGAGTATTTATACTATTCATCATCCATCTTGAGGGGGAGCACTGTCCATGTTGCTGATGGTCATTCCAGCACAATTGTCTTTGCCGATGATAATTCCGACACTGTTTAGAAGTTCCTCTTGAGGGGGAGCACTGTCCATGTTGCTGATGGTCATTCCAGCACAATTGTCTTTGCCGATGATAATTTCGGCACTGTTTAGAAGTTCCTCTTGAGGGGGAGCACTGTCCATGTTGCTGATGGTCATTCCAGCACAATTGTCTTTGCCGATGATAATTCCAGCACTGTTTAGAAGTTCCTCTTGAGGAGGAGCACCGTCCATGTTGCTGATGGTCATTCCAGCACAATTGTCTTTGCCGATGATCATTCTGGCATCTTCCATGTTGATGTTCATTTCGACGCCATTTTTAGCACATTGTTGATTTTTGGTTTCTCATTTAGGAGATTTATTTTGATGTTATGTTACTTGGTCTTTCTTGTAATAAGCTTTTAGCATAGTCAAAGGGAAACCACGGCTGCTCACCAACTGTTAAATGAAATGTCTGAGAGGGATCTTGATGCTGATGTCCTGGTCAGCTCAGTTGTCTTTGCCGATGATAATTCCGGCACCATCCATGCTCTGATGTCCATTCCAGCACTGTCTCTTTATCAGCTCTTCAAACTGATGGTCATTCCAGTTCATTTCATTTCGTTGATGTAGCATTGTTGTTTTTGGTTCCTAATAGGAGTATTATTTATGTATCAAGCTTGTATCATATGATCTATATGCTACAGCTTGAGGGGGAGTGTTAAGAGTGTTAGTGTTAATAGTGTAGAAGTCCCACATTGAGTGTGTCTCTTTGTATTTTTCAATTGGTTTGCTATATAATAGCACCAATGTTGTGTAGTTTAATAGAACAAGGATTACTATCATTTCCTCTTGTATCTATAATATTCAACAGATTCATTCAATATGAGTTACATTCAATAATATTTCAAGTATTTTATTTACCAAAAGAATATAAATATAGGCTTAGAAAATCTAAGCAACAGTAGCACCAGGCCCATATATGATAGTATTAGACCTCCACGGTCTTAGGAGTGTTGCGCCCTCACACCCTATCGAAAGTGGCTTCCCTAAATCTAGTCCACTCATCGAGAAGTGGAATCTCCATTGATTTTCTCTACATTCCACTAACAAAACATCTAAATATAAAGTTATGAGTCATACCAAACATAGAGGCTAGAGAGATAATAGGTTAGAGAAATGTCAATTTTCTAGTCACATTTGATCAAATCTTTGGGAAAAGTTCAAAAATCCTACTTATGATTTTGCTTTGAATCACTTATGCCTCCTATATATATTTTTAATAACTTATTTTTCTATAATAATTTCATTCAAATCCATCCTTAACATCATTAGAAACTAAACTAATCTACCTATTTTACTTTCTTTTTTTTCTTGATAACACCTATTTTACTTTTTTTAAGAAGAAGAGAATAGACCAAGGAAAAAAAATAAAATAAAAAATAAATAAGACCAAATATGTTGGAAACTTACAACACTTATAAAAGACACTAAAAATAAAATAAAAAATGAAAAAAGAAGAAAATATCAAGTATGTCTAAATCAAAAAGAAGAAAATAGATTAAGGAAAAAAAATGGAAGAAAAAATAAGATCAAATATGTTGAAAAATTATAACATTAATAGAAAATATTAAAATTGAAAAAAAAGCCTAAATCAAAAAGAAAAAAATAGAGGAAAGAGATAAAAGAAATAGAAAAAAATAAGACCGGATATGTCTAAATAAAAAAGAAAAAAAAGTGAGGACAAAAAAATAGAAGAGAAAATAAAAATAAAATAAAAAAAGAAATACAAAAAAAGAAATCATTGTTGTAAGTTTCCAACATATTTGATTTTATTTTTTCTTTTATTTTTTTCTTTCTTCTATTTTTTTTGTTTTTTTTGTTTTTGATACATTATTTTCTTTTCTTTTTTTATTTACATATGTTTGGTATTTTTTTCTTCTATTCTTATTTTTTTCACTTTCAGTTTTTTCTATCACTGTGAAAAGAAATGGAAAAAACAAGATAAGAAAGAAATAAAAAAAGAAACCAGTGTTGTAAATTTTTAACATATTTGGTCTTATTATTGTTCTTCCATTTTTTTTATCCTCAATCTATTCTCTTCTTTTTTATTTAGACATATGGACATGGTCTTATTTTTTCTTCTATTTTTTTTTTTGTAGTCTATTTTTTATTTAGACTATTTTTACTTTTAGTTTTTCTTGTTATTGTTGTAAGTTTGCAACATTTAGATTTTTTTGTCTCCTTAATCTATTTTCTTCTTTTTGATTTAGATATTTTTAATTTTTTCTTCTATTTTTATACTTTTCTATAAATGTTGTAAGTTTCCAATATTTTTTGCCTTTTTTATGATTTTTTTTCTCAGTCTATTTTCTTTTTCTAAAATGGGTAAAATAGACAAATTAATTTAGTTTTTAATTGTGTTAAGATGAGTTTGGATGAGAAAAAAAATTATAAGGGATAAGTGATTAAAAAAGTTATAAGGTGTAAATGATTTAAAACAAAACCATAAAAGGATTCTTGAATTTTTCCCAAATCTTAATTATGCATTTCAAGGTTATGTATTAATGTATGTAGAAATCATACATGAAATTTAGGAAAACGATTGTGCATTTTGCAATGTTTTTTATTTTCTTTTGGGGAAATTCTGGTACTTACTAGAACAAATTGGTTCTGGCCTGTTTTTGATAAAAGCTAAAGTGCTAAACCCAACAAACAGTGTAACTAGTAACATGTAGAAAAACACTTTCATAAAAAAAAAAAAAAAGTAACATGTACAAAAACTGGGACATTGACCGTACTGTCCCTTTTTCAATATAATATACCTGAATGTCACGGAGTCAATTTTTTTTTTCAAATTGCCACATTACCATAGTTGCTGAGGTAGTCAGTCAGCTACTATGGACGAGACACGTGTCACTTTCTTAGTGGCTGGACATGCAATCCATAATAGCTGACTGACTACCTCAGCGACTATAGTGCTGTGATAGTTTGGAAATTTTATTTGACTCCGTGACATTTAGGTATATTATATGAAAAAAGAGGGAAGTATGGTCAATATCCCTACAAAAACCACCCGAGGGATATTTCAAATGTCAACCCCAATACCGTCATTTTGTTATTTGCTTTGTTTTTTTAAATTCCTGATTTCCTGCAGAAAAAAATGCTGTTGGTGGACATTTCATTCGCAATAATGATATGTAATAAAACAATTTCAGTATATTTTAATATGATCGCGAAAGTATAGGCTTAAATGATTATTTAACTAAACATAGAATAAATATCCTTTATGGTCCTCAGCAAATTTCATGATGCTCATTTTAGTCTCTAGCAAATAAAAAGGCACATCATGGTCTCTAAAAAATTCAAAATTGACCTATTTAGTTGAAATCATAGTCCCTCACAAATTCAAAAAAGACCCATATTAGTCCTCAAAAGGACTAAAATGGATTCATTTTAAATTTCTTAAGAACCATGTTGAACCTTTTTATTTGCTAAGAACTAAAACGAGCATCATAAAATTTGCTGAGGACCAAAATAGTATTTACTCCTAAACATATATGATATAACAGTATCAAACATGGTGTAGAAAGATGTCAGATTCATGCACCAATATTATTATTATTATTTTGGTAGGTTCTTTTAATTAAAAGGATTTGGAACAATACTTACTCATATTATATAGGTGAGTAAAAGCAAATTAATATAATCCTTCCCGGGAAAAAAGTTTACCAAGAAATGATACAGAAGTATGTGTTTTTTAATTGGGATTGATGTTTCTTCAACCCATGTGAAATCATTTAAGAAGAGAAATAAAAAAAAAAAACACACACACACATATATATATATATATATGGGTGAGGATCATTTTACACCAGTGTAAGTTACACTCTCAATCTTGTCCGCTGATCCCACTTATATCTAAGGGCTCAAATTTTTTAGTAATGTGAGCCATTAGATACAAGTGGATCAATGGTCAAGATTGAGTGTAAACTTGTAACTCTTACACCGGTGTAAGAATATCTGCCCCTATATGGGTGAGGATCATATATATATAAATTCTATAAATTTGTATGTATATAAAAAATAATTTTATCTGCACATGTTATTTTATTTTTTATTTTTTTAAGAAACGTAACTTATTTCTAGTGCGCCGGCAGATTCATGCACCAACATCACAATCATAAACCGAGGTATAGACAACTCACTTCATAAACGACAAGTAACACCATGTACTCACATTATACATACAACACATATATTAGAAAACATGCACGATGCAAACACACACGCCCTAGGTACCTTTATTTATAAGATAATCATAATCATCCTGCTAATACGGTGCACCTATACGAAAATCATCTGACCGTCCAAGACATAAACCAAAAAAGGGTAGAAGAGACAACATCGGAAACTAAGAACACATAATAACATAACAGTTTTATACGGTCCCTAAATTTAAAGACTTTAGAATTAATTAAACAGAGAACAAAACACCCACGACGTTCCATTTCCCCCATTCCAATTTCCTAGTAAGCTAGGTTACGGTTGGGCATAACGACGTCGTCAAGCGACCACAGGTCCACGAAATTGTCGTCCCACTCAGCACCGCCGCAGATTCCGCCAGGCAGCGGCGGCTGCTGCTGCTGCTGCTCATCATTCTCCAAGCCCAGGAACCATTCAAGGTTCGAGATTTGCTGCATCAGGTCAAGTTCCTCGCCGCCGTCGTCTCCGCCGACGACACCGCCGTGCACGGTTGTTGAAGACGGTGGCTCAATGGGTTTGGAGCTAGCTTGATCACTAAGATCGGGGCTGAGGCACCGCTTCTTCGAGGGTGGCGGAGTTGGAGGAGTGGCGGTGGTGTTGGTGGCAGGAAAGTTGAGCTTGGCCTTGTCTCCACGGATGCGCTTGGCGGCGTCGTCGTAGGCTATGGCGGCTTCTTCGGCGGTGTTGAAGGTGCCGAGCCAGACACGGACACCCTTATGTGGGTCCCTTATCTCTGCGGCCCACTTGCCCCATGGCCTTTGTCTGATTCCTCTGTACACGTTCTTTCGAGCTCGCTGAACCTTACCACTCTTCTTTCCCTTTTCAGCACCCACGCTTTTCTTCTCCACCTTGTCACATGATGCCACCACTGCCACATAAAATCACACATTGAACAATAAATAAAATTAAAATATTTATTCTTTCTTGAAGAGTGAGATGGTTGGTGGCTAATGGCTATCATTTTCCTGGGAACAGGAAAGAGCACAGGGTTTTGATTGCTGATGTATATCTAACGCATGTTTAATATCTTTATATAATATTTTGCTTCTCATGTTAAAAACTTTATATAAACTTCCTCTCTCTCTCTCTCTCTCTCTTTTTAACCCCTGCTTTTCAATTAGTAGAGAAAACGTGAGCAAAAGAAACATTGGCATCTTGGTAGTTGTTAAAATGTAAAAATTAGTTAAAGCTTTGAACTTTACTTCATTTTCATTCAAACCGGTTCAACAAACACCAACCATGCATCTACTGCGATCTACCAAACCCCAAAAGCTAATTGACATAACCAGAGGAATATAATATATATGAGAGCCCAAATAATTACACGGTGATGTTATGATCATCATGTTTGATCATTCAACGAAAGGAACCAAACAAAAAGTTTTTTTTTTTAAATTAACAAGAAAGTTAAAATTCTGTAATTGAATCCAATAAAAAATAGCACCAAACACAAGAAAAAAGTATACCCATGATGAAGAAATTGGGTGATAAAAAATCAAATGGGAAAGTAGAACATGGAAACAAAAAGCCATTGAACAACCTAGAAGAGGAAAGTGATACCTTTTATGTCTGTGACTAGAGGGAAGTTTTGATCGGAGTGAACCGGTGGTGGTGTGTTTTTGGAAGCAGAGGTGACATCGAACCCAAGGAGGTCAGAGAAAGGGTCAAGCTCAGACCACAGGTCCTGACCATCGTGGCTCCGGCCACGCTTCTTCACACCAATGAAGTCGGAAATGATAGCACCCCCACACATGTTTCAGAGCTTCTCAGAGAAACCGAAAGTTTTAATTGGCACTATGATCCTCGTAATTTTGCACTGCGTCTATATTTATATTGAGCTCATCTGGCCCCACTCAAAACCTGAATCATGACGAGTTGTTTCATGATGGACGGTTGATAGTGAGTGTTGATCAACGTGGCGAGTTTTGATTGGATGAGCTTAAAGACGTGTTGAGGGGCTTCGTGTTGAAGCTTTGGAACTAGGAAGCGTTGGATTTAACGCACGTCAGAGTAGTGCCAAGATTTAACGGCCCCTGAGAGAGGAAACACGCTCTTAGTGTGTGTGTGTGGGGTCACTGGGTCTTCTGGAATGAACCCCCTCCTTATGTCACCCTTGCTTTCAGCCATAAAAATTACGGGATATTTTTCTCACGACAGTTCATCTGATTTGTCTTGTGTAATACACACACAAAAAAAAAATGAGATCAAAAAAGAGTTTTATTTTTTATTTTTATATATTGTTGAAATAAATTATCTTATTTAACATCAGAAATAATATTCTCAAAAATCACTCGAAAATTCTCCTTCGGTTAATTTTTTTATTTTAATTGTTCCGTTTATATTAAATTTAAATGAGAAATGACCTCACATAACTTGGTATAATATTATAAATGATGGATTATAGTCCTTTTTATTGTACTAGAATTATCGAGTTATCATTTATAGAACAAAACATGATTCTAAATTCATATACAGCATATAAACGTAAGAAGAAATTAAAAGAAGACAACTTTCATTCAATGAATAATATGAGGGGGCGCAGTTTTTCCTCGCTTGGCCTTTTTAATTTTTCGTTCTATCTTGTCAAAGAAAGAAATTAATATAGAGTTTCCATGTTGCAAAAGCAAACTAGAGCTACGGACTACGGAGGCTGAGGCATGCCTTATCAGGCAGGTATGTGTTCGTTCGTTCGTACGTACATAACGTACCTCGCTTGTAGATATATGAGCAATACCAACAAAAAATACCGTAAGCTTGAAGATAACATACAAGTTGTAAACTTGTAACAAAAAAGAAGAAGAAAGAAAACCGATAAAGGCAGAAGAAAACAAACGAGTTACTGAATCTTGCACATGGCATATATAAGCCTATACGCAAATGGTGCGTACGGTTTTAAGTATGAAACTAAACTTCCTCACGCAATGCCCAAATATAACCGGCTTTTGGGAAGCATCTAGCTAAAGTTGAGGAAGTACGTACGTTAAATATAAATGTGATGAAATATGAAAAATATTTAAAGTCTCAACTCTCAACTACTTTAATGCATTGGCATTTTCCCTATAATACAAGCTAGCTTAAACCCACCGCCCTTCATTTTTGCAAAGAATGTGAGGTCCCCTACTTAGCTTTGTAGTAGTGCGTAGTAGATTCTGATAATTGTTATCATCATCGTCATCATCATATGTATACCATACTACAATGAATTGCACATTTCGAAGGGTTTACTTTGTGCCTTGTTTCTTCTTTGTAATTGTAAGGGACTTGTTGCAAGTTGCAACCGAGTGTTCAGCCCGCATCCCAAGCAGAAGATATTTTTCAGCACCACTCTTCGACTTGCATTCGCTGGCAAAAAATAAAAATATAACAAAATTCTAATTTAAATAAAAAATTACTAAATTGTAACAATTTAAAATTTATTTATCAATGTGTAAGTTGCGCCCATTGGGAGCAATAGGATGCAGTATGACACATTTGGGCGCAACTCATCAGAATATGATACAAATTTTGAAAATTTTACCATAAAATTTGAAAAGGGTATAACTTTTGAGTTGGATATTCGAATCAGATAATTTTTTTTTTGATTCCACGTAAACTTTCAAGATTTACGAGTTGACAAACATCTGGTCAAAAAAATGCTTTCTTTAATAAATTGTGTGATTACATAATTATGTGAAGTTGTCAGCGCGTACATCTCAAAAAATTACGTAGAATAAAAAAATACCTAATTTGAACATCTTAGTCAAAATTTATAGTCTTCCAAAATTTTATATCATGTGTCCTCCTGAGGTGAGTTGCGCCCAACACAATTGCACCCATATCACGTGACTTTGGGTGAGACTGGTCATATTAAAAATTTTGTATCACATGTTATTTTCGGGTGAGTCATGCCCAAACTTAGGCACAGCCAGTTGTGCTCAATTCTAGACACAATTTTTACTAGTTGCTACACAATCATAAATAAATTTCAAATGGTTACAATTTTGTAATTTTTTTACCCCTATTATCCGAAAGTTCAAAAAAGTGCCTTAAAGAGTGAGATGGAAGAGTTTTCCTAATTTTCGTACCTGCTATCAGAGACCATAGATTCATAGTCAAAATGCTAGTCTACTTTTCAACGGCAGGCAGTTAAAACATGCCATATTATTCACACAAAAATTATCTGAATATCACGGATTGAATTTTTATCTTCAAAATATCATGTCACCTAACTCGCTATAACACCTAACGAGTTAGGTGTGGACATGTGATAGCAAGTTCATAGTCACATAAGTCAATGCACAGTGCAGCGATATTACGTGACATATATTGCAGCGAGATTACGAGACATACATTGCAGCGAGATTACGTGACAGGCATCTTCTACCACACGGCATAAAATACTAGACAGCTTGGCGTGTTACGTGTCTGACACATGTCAAACTCGCTATTCTACATAGCATGTTACATGTCAACTTTTCTGACACATGACCATACATACTATGCTGCATAGCATATTATGTGTAAGTAGCTCAGCAGACAGCAGTCTAGCATTTTTATTCTAATAAATTCACTACTTCCTTTCTATTTCTTACATCATTGTGGTCTAATAAACTATAGGATAGTTTTAATTATTGAATTTTGTATTTTGAAATAAAATGATTTAAGGAAAATTATTATTGGTTTGAATATTTTAGTTTTAAATAACTTATGTTAAAATAATTACTTTAGGACTGTTAATATAATTTAATATATGTATGTTAATTAATTTAATATAATGGATGAGTGTTAATTAATTTATTTTAATTTAGTTTATGTTAAGTTAAATTATTATTTTTTTTGCTGAGGAGTTAAATTACTTTTAACTATTAAGTAATTTAATTTAATTTAGGAGTGTTAATGAATTAAATTTAATTTAAGTCTGTTAATTAATTTAGTATATATTAATTTAAATTATTTTAGAACTATTAATTAATTATTTTTAGAAGTGTTAATTAATTTCATTTAAATTTTTTTGGTAAAAATTTAATTTAGTTTATGTTATTTTGAACAGTTAAGTAATTTAATTTAATTTATGTCTGTTAATTAATTTAATATAATTATTTCCTTTATTAATATAGATTTTTCAAATTGATTTTTGAGTTTAAATCACAAATCAAATCTTTATTTATTTATTTTATATTAAATCACAAACCCCGAACTCAGAGGCTTCTGGGTTTAACCGCTTTTATAATACCATTCTTGCAAATTTAAATTATATTTTTGAGAAATAAAATATGTCAAATGAGATGTCATTGCGTAGATCTCAAAAAGTTATGTGGAATCAAAAAAAGAATTATCTAATTTGGATACCCGAGTCAAAAGTTATGGCCTTCAAAAGTTTTTCGATTAAATTGTTCATTTTTTTTTGAAAAAAAATGTGACATGTGTCAACACCTGATGAATGACGTCTAAATTAGGCGTGATTACCTCTTGAGTGAAGCCCAATTTAGACGTGATTGGTGACGCCCAAATTGGACGTGATATTGTGAAATAAATGTGTAATTATTTCAAAAACTGTCATAAATTAGTAATTTTTTATTTGAAAAACAATATATCAATTTTTTTGCCTGTTAAGCTTAGTTTCATTTATTTCGCAATGTCATATTGTTATGGTCACACAATTGGTTACTTTAAATTTGGCTTTGCTTAAAAAGAAAATTTATCCGTATTTCTAATTGAACCAATGTGATTGTAACTGCACTTAATATCATAAAGCAATGTTAACAAACCGGTTCTAGAACGAGGTGTTACATTTTATGGTATGAGAGCAATTTCTTCAGGAAACTTGTGGAATATTAGTTTGTTGTTCGAATTGCTTTGTAGTTACTTTAGGAATTCATTGTGATTATTTCATGTGTGATCACTGAGTGTAGGCCTGATAAACTCACTCTTTTGTGTAACATATGTAGAATCATGACGAGGACCCGAGGCAACCTTGAGGCAAACGAAGCCAATGATTTGTCGAATCCAGTGTTGGCGACATTGTTGAGGGATCATGGTGACCAAACGACACCCGGTTCGAGTGAACAACCTGATCCCGTGGTGGGCATTCTATTAGCCGTGCAAAGGGAGTTGACTGTTAGTCGCCAGGCTAATGAAACATTGATAAAGACTAATGAGGATGCGTAGAATGCTATGACCACAGTGATGAATGAATTGAGGATCTTGAGGGGTGCTAGAAATGAGAATAGACTACTCACTCCTCCTCCTCACACTGCCACACCTACTCCACAAACTTTCTATGAAGAGGGTGGAGCTGGTAAGAATGATGGGGAGGCTAGTCACCATTCTGGTGGTCATAGTCATCACACTGTGGTAGGTCAACCACATGTAGAGCATGTTGATGAACATGAAGCCGAAGAAAGGCGACTAACGACTTTCAGAAAAACATAAACCTCTTTCTTTTAATAGAGGCTACGACCTGTTGGTGGCGGGGAAATGGCTTCAGACCATGGAGAAGATTTTTAGGGTGATCAGATGCCTTGATGCACTGAAGTTGGTTTACTCGGTGTACATGCTTGAAGGCGTGATAAGATGCCCTGAGGCTATTTTTGAATTTTTTTAGAATTGTATTAAAATTTGTATCAGCAGGATTTTGGTTTGGGACTATATCTATTTTTTTAATATTTTTGGAACTGTATTAAGGTTTGTATTGTTGCGACTTCGGCAAGTGCACCGGCCGTATAACTAATAGAGTGGTAAAAGTAAGGTTGTCGATCCCACGAGGACTGATTATCAATCACTAACTTATCTACGCGATTAAAGTTGGAT